TAAATTCCAACAGTAAAGGAAGTTGGCCCATGCCCTTTAGGTATTCATTAATAAACACTTTGTATGAGTTTCACTTATTTTACAGCAGTATATGAAAGTTTCCCACTGCAAGGGACTGACATATAATGAAAAACATTAGAAAAAGCTCACACTAATGTTTGAAAAAAGCTTTCTAATTGTGAGAGAAGAGTAAAAATGAACTGATCTGACATGGTTTGCTAATGAAACAACTGATAAATGCTGGTCAACCCTTTGCAAAAAAAGGAAAAAAAATCAAGAGTGATACATTATCTTAGCACAAGAGAATTGCTGAGGTCATTTCATCTACAAGGATGATACACCAAGCACAGCAGGGTAAGGTTTTTCAGCTGTGCAAATCCATTCCTTTTCTAAAAAGTTACTCTGGAGTTGCATGCAAGTAACTTGTTTCTGCATAGACAAAGTCTCTTTCACAGTTTCAAAAGCAACACTTACGAGACAGTCTCTGGAATATCCTCTGGCTTTTTGAAATGGCCTGCCCACAGCAAAAACCTTCTCTCCCAGAGTGTAGGCCTGTGTCCAGGCACTCCCGAACGAGATCGACCTAAAAAAGCCCCAACAAAACAAAGACAAAACAACAAAACACCACCAAAAACAAGTCAGAGAGTGTGGATGGTCAGAGCTGTAACAAAACCAGTTAGGGTGAGCAATGCAGAACTCTAAATATGATTGCTAGAGGTGGTTAGAGAATGAAAAGTGTATCACAGATTAACAAACATGTGAATATGGATTAAACTGAAGCCATGTAAGGAAAGCCAAATTCTTCTCAAAACCTCTGTATCTGCAGGTCTAAATATGCAGAAGCTGCTCCAGCATCTAAGGTTCCTAAGGTACTGTTTTCCTATTTCATTTAAATAAGGTTTTAAAAAAAATCAAATGGAACAGCTATAGAAAAGTCAACATGCTGCACAATAACAGTAAAAGTCAATATAACATCACAGAATGTTAACTTTTTCAGGCACTGTAAGATTTTATCTGAAGGTATAAATAAACAGATAATCATAGGCAAAGATTGGGCACATAATTTTCAGGTCAATCTTTCAAACTCCATGAACAAAATATCCATAATGTAACAGGGGAAGCTTTTCATATATAACATAGCATTAAAATCTAAGAAACAAAGTGCAAAGATAGACAGCTTTTTCCTTATAAACAATAGGGAGTATCCTGTATGGCCATGTTCTCCCTCATGGATTCATGAATTATCTAGGAAGTGGGGTGGATACAGTTTGCTGACAACACCAGGTTATTCAAAAAGATAAAGAAGAGAGCTGAGCCCAAAATACCACGGAGCTTCAGAACTCAGAGTCAATGAATTGGCCTGGGAACTCCCTTGTCCATAAAGAGGAAGCAACTCCAGTTCACACACATGTGACAGACTCTGCCCTCACTTATAAATCATTACCTAGGCCTGAGCAAGGCCTTGGGGTTGCACAGTGGTTTTGGCAAGTGACAGAGAGGAAAACAGCATAACTGTCAATGGTCAGGAACTCAGACCAACACAGCAGCACTACTGTGCCTCTGCGTGGAACTGTGACTCCAGCTTTTTGAAAAGCATGGGAAATACTCAGAGGAGCTGAAATAGAACAGGCACAGGTATGGAATGGTCACCATGTAAGAAACTGTGTCACAGACTGGGATCCTTTGGCCTGGAAAAGCAGTGACTGAAGCTCTCTTCAGCCCAGCAGAGCACTGTAAGAGACATTGGAAGTGTGGGTTGTAATGAGGTCTTGGTTTGGAAGGGGTACAGAATAGAGGAAAATCAGATTATAAAAAAGTGCACATCGGGTTAAAAAACAAACACATGACTGTAGCTGAGGAATTTCTTCTTAGAGAAGAAATTCTTAAGGAATTTCAGCATCCACATTCTCAGAGAATGTGGATGCTAAAAATACATCCAGCTTCAGGAAACTGGGCAAATTTGTTGGGAAAAAAAAATCCAGTGAGGCCTATTAAACACCAAGATGCCACCTCTGAGGCTGTGGTACAGAGGAACCATCTTCCAATTCTCTTCCTTAGGTTCTTGCTGTAGGTCACCATTCTCACTTCACAAAAACAAGGGACTTCCTTTACTGGCCCCTGCTGGAGACATCACACTTTCAAGGAGATCTTTTGTCCTACCCAGGACAGCTGATCCATGTTTTTAACATGGTCAGGCCAAATGCTTCACATCTGTGTGCTCCTTTTCTCCTGCATGGTGGCCCATAGGGAACCTGTGACAGAGGGAGCACAGAAACTGTCCCATATATAGTGAAAAAACAATGGCCTGAGCTTTCCCTGACCAGCTCCACCCTTAAACACGAACAATTCAGACTCTTCCCTGCAGGGCACATTTAGTTTTTGGAACAGCTGGAGCTGGCTGCACTCCGAAAAACTGCAAAAGTCTTTTAGGTCACACAGCATTCCTAAACATGAACAGTTTACAGTGGGGCTGAACAGGCAGTTCCAGAGCAGAGCTGAGGAGCCTCAGTGTAGGAGTGTGCACTAGATAAGGTTCTGGTGATCTGCTACAAAGTGAATGCTGTGTGACCGTCACAAGTGGAAACATTGACCCCTGGCTTTTTGTTAGGAAACAAGACTTCAACAAATGTAATGCTCCATTTTTCAGTCTGGAGACCAGAACTCTCACAAAATCAGGGATATGACCACCTGTGTCAGCCAAATTTCTGCAGAGATGATAGCAGCACAGATATGTGAGTATTCCATGGCAGGAAACATTCCATGACTATCAAAGACTCTTACTCTTTGTCTGAAGGTCTTGCTCGGGTTTAGTGCACAGCCTTCTGCTTATCTTGGGGTGCACTCCCTCGGTCATCCTCAGAACCGAGGGAATATTTCTTGCCAGCAGTTTAACAGCCCTATCTGGAAGAGAAAGCAGAGGAAGCAAAGAGGCCAAATTTAACTCAAAGCAGTAGAAAGTGGGAACCAGCTTTTCAACTGAAGCATTTTGGGGTTTTTTAACACAAGAGGAAAAAAAGAAAAACCAATAGGTACAAAATGAACCCATGAAGTACCAGATTTAGTTGTAATAGCCTAGCAAAGACATTAAAGCTTATTTCTAAGGTATGCCTTGAGCTTGCTCAGTAATCCTATGTAGAAAAAATGTGAATGCAATTAAATTCATTTAGGAGAAAAAAATGCAAGACAATGTCCTGCCAGCAATTTCTAAAAGACATTACAATTTCCAGGAACTAATCTATACAAATGCCTCACATACATTTTGGATGGTGCTGTTTCAAGGACTGCACACCAGCATTCTACCAACCTGGTCACATCCCAAAAGCAATGACAGAGTCAAGACAAAAGGCAGGATATTTAACACTGAGAGATAACTACTTTGTAGTGCATTAGAAAAGGCCAGGGCACCTTATATACGAACACATACTTCAGCGAAGGCGCTTCTAATGCATTAATTAATATAATGAAAAAGTTCGTGAAAAAAAAAAAAACAACAACAAAAAAATCCCAAACAACCAAACTAACTCAGCAAAGCAAAAAAGGGCACTTTAAAAAATATAAAATGAGTTCTTTCTTTACGTTGTTATACTGTCGGAAGGTGTCTCTCCTAAGGCCCTCGACTTTCGAGGAATAATACACTCCCGCTCTGAAAGAACAGCACTTTACATTTACAGGCGACACCCCCAGCGAAACGGGCCCCTTTTCACGCTCTTTGGAGGAGCCGAGGCACAGCCCCGCTCCTCTCACTCCTTGGGACGCCAGTCCACCACACGCGGCCCCTCACCCGCCGGGATCGCCCCGCTCCGCGCTCCGGGCCCGGCCCCGGGGCTCGGTCCCTCCCTCCCGGCCTGCCCGCCTCACTCACCGGCGCGGCCCCACATGGCGCTGCCCGGCCCGGCTGGGCGCCGCTCAATGTCACCGCTGGGCCCCGCCCCGGGCCCGCGATTGGAGGGAGCGGCTCCGCGGGACGCCCGGGGCCGACACCGCCTCCGCTGGGGGCGGCCGGAGCTCCCGCAGCGGCCGGAGGAGCCGAAGGGGCCGCGCGGCCGCTGCCGGTGGAGATGCCCGCCCGGGGGCCGCTGCGCCNCGCGCTCCCGGCGAGCGGCCCCGCGGGAGCACGCGCCCCGTGCGCGAGGTCACCCCGCTCCCCGCGGCCGGCGGGATGCGGCGGGACGGGAGCGCGGTCCGGCCTTCCCCCCTGCCCTTCCCGCTTCCCTCCGGCAGCAGCGCGGCCGGACACCTCCCCTTCCCCGCAGCTCCCTTTCCCGGGACGGAGCGCTGGCGGCGCGGGAGCCACGCGGGCGCTCCGCGGCGCTTGAGGGAGCGTGGCACGGTGCCGCCCGTGCTCGGCGGTGCGAGCGGGGCCCGGGCCGGCGGGGCCCTGGAACCGGCCTGTGTCTCGAACAGGGAATCCCAGAATGCCCTGAGTGGCTCGGGACCCTCAGGAATCGCCGAGTCCAGCTCCTGCCCCGCACAGGACACCCCGAGGGTCACGCCAGGTGCCTGAGGGCGTTGTCCAAGCACATCCTGAACTCTGTCGGGCTCGGTGCTGTGACCACTGCCCTGAGGAGCCTGTTCCAGTGCTCAGCCACCCTCTGGGTGAAAAACTTTTTCCTGGGACCCAACCTAAACCTCTCCCAGCTCAGCTTCAGGCCCCCCAGAGTGGTGCAGGTTTATTCAAAGTTTGCTGTTCTGGTGCAGGCTGTGCCCAGTTTCCTGTGTGGAAGTGGGGACAGGGACTTGGGCACAGGCTCTTCAGCCTGTCCACGCTGCCTGCAGGGCCAGGGGACTTCAGGGGGCATCAGTTGCTCACCCCTGCTCTGGCCTTTGCTGCCAAGGTTTGCAGCACATACTCACGCCTGTGGGATTGCTCCTTTGGTGTGCTTTTAACTCTTTGTAGGGAATCCTATTTAGTTTCTATTAAAATGCTTGGCTATGCAAATTTTTTGTAATAGGCTTTTCTGAGAGATATAACCAAGTATCTCTCTCTTTTTTAATACAGGAGCTGCTCAGGGTGATGAGGACAATCGACGATAGAATTGTTCATGAATTAAACACTACGATTCCAACAGCTTCCTTTGTGGGGAAAGTTGATCCTGGCCAGACGTGTAAAGAGCTGTACGAGTCTGTGAGTGTGCTCACCTTCCACTTCAGCTCCCTTCCCGCTGCTTTGTCCTGTGCAGTGGCCAGTAAAGCATCCTCAGTGTCTGAGGAGAACACTGCCTTGGCAGATCCTGCTTCGTATTCCTAACTGTCCTGCTCAACATCTCCACACACTGCTTCAGTCTAAAACCGTGCAGGGAAGTTCTTTGGTCTCCAATACTGATCCTTTGAGGATCTTTTAAAAAGGGTGTATGCTTTTCCTGCTGCTCTGCAAGACTCCTCATGTTTACCTTTGACTTTTGGTCAACTTGGTAAGAGCAAGAATGACAGGATAGTCTAAGTTGAGAGTAGCTGCTGCTCAAAGCAGTGTTGTTTCCCACATGTAGATTATGAATTCAAAGGGATTTCTGTTAGCACAGCAATACCATGACTTTAGAAAGTGTCTCTTTAAACTTGTAACTAGGAGGTTTTTATTCTCTGATGAGTCACTGAGACTTTCTTTTTCTCCCCACTTAGTTGATGGATGCTCACACCAGTAGAGAAAGAATCATCAAAAACTGCATCTCTCAGACTTCTGCTGTAGTGAAAACCCTCAAAGAGGAGAGGGAAAAGGCCCATGAAGATGCAGCATTATTAAAGCAGCTCAGGAAAGAGCAGACAAAGGTGAGTGGTGGAGCCTTTGAGAGATCACTTGTAGAGGAAGAAGTGGGTATCTTTCCCAAATGGAAAGACCAGGGTGATGGAGAGAACCTGAAGTGGATCCTCATTAAAGCAGTCTTTTCCAAGGTTCTCGTTGGCTCTTGGTGGGTCTTGTGGGAATTATTTTCCCAAGGCCTCAAGGCAGAGAGCTGCTTTTATCCTGCAACTGGAGCATTTCCTGAGAGTCTTCTACATGAATGCTGTAGAGAAACACACATTCTTTCCCATGGTGGATTCTAACCTTCACTGACTGATACCACTGAGACAAAGCTTAACTTTTCCTGTTCACAACAAGATGCTCTCAGGCAATCCATTTACACAACCTTTTTTTGCTGCTTGGTATTTCTTGGATTAATATTTTGAGTACCTTGTGATGGTGTGAGAGAGAGACTTCTGGGTTTGCATACAGAATTCTAATGTGCAAATGCCCTTTCAGCCTTCTGGCATGTGGGTGGGAAGTACTTTACCAGAGGGGATTGAGTATCAGAAGTGGAGAAAGGAACCCCACTGAAGTTCTCACCTCACTTCCAGGGCCCCTTTTGTAAGGAAAAGGATACTGAGAGAAGCATGTGGCAGATGAGCAGTTTTATTCTTAAAGCCTCGCTTATTGATCTGCTAACAAGCATGGATATTAGTTTGGAAAACTGGAGTGGTAGCATAGTATTTTCTACAAATTTTTTTAGCAGAGCCAGTTTTTAAAATCATTTAGTTACTGAGACTGAAATCTCTTACTGAAACCACTGGGAAGATGACAATGAAAGTGTTTAATGACTGGAGATGGCTTCAAATGTTGAAAGCATTCCATGACTTAGAAACATTTCAGAATTTTTTTATGAGATCACCTCAGATTTGTACTTGGACCTTATGAGATGTGATCCTCCTGCTTTTTTTTAGTTCTCCAAAACACAGAGAGTTGTGTTTTTTTCTACAAGTCAGAAAAGCTAACTTGACAGAACACATCCTAGTTTTAAGAGTGGGAATTTCAAATATCTATTCACTTGCTTGCAGTATAGATCTTTTTTCCCTTGTTGTGTGTTTCTCTGATCCTGCTGCTTGTACAACTTGGAGAACTTCATGCAGAATTATTGCTTTTGAGTCACTGAATGAGAAAACTTGGAGTAGTGGTTTCTTTGAACTACTAAAGATCCTCTGAGTGTTTATTTTATAGAGATTTATCCTGGTGGTCCAGTCCCTCTGGATGCTGGATTGTTACTTCAAACAGATTGAAGTCCTCTTGAGTTGGGGAAAGTGCATCCCACAGCTGTAGCTGCTCTGTGTTCCTGGATATCTTACTTGGAAGGTTTTAAGTGGGATTGCTGTCCTGGCTTGCACCTGTTCACCAGGCCTCTCATTGGAGCCATGTATTGAAAATGGATAAGCTCTGACTCTTTGTCTGTCGTGTTAAAGACTCCAACAAGAATATATCCTAAATTTTGACAAAAATGGCAGATGGTTTTTAAATCTCCTGCTATTGCCTCGGGACCAAATTCCCCAAACACAACTGTCACACCCCTTGGGGTTTCTAACAGGTGTGAAACAAAGAGATTCTTACCCTTCTCACAGGTCAAGTGAGTGCTCAGGAGCTGTGTGTTGGTGGTAGTTCTTGCCAGAGCTCTTGCATCTGTGTAGGGCTGTTTTTTTTTTTTATGTCAACATAAAATATTAACTGCTTCAGACAGCATGAACAACATGTGGTCAGACTGTAGACCCTTTTTTTGGTCAGTACACTGAGCAGGTGGGGAATGAAGCAGAGAGGGTCTGTTCATAACCTTAGTTTTAAATCCAGAATCCTAGCTTTGCTGCCAGCTACATAAATGACTCTAATAATGCAAGAGTGGCAACTCAAGGCTGCAGAGCTAACCCCAGCCCTGGCATTCCCTGTGCTCAGTGCTTGCATTAGGTGCAGTTATTTGTGCCTATGAAGCCATCAAAGTTAATCAGTTAATTGCTTGCAGATCTTGGTGGGCATTATTTAGGAACAGAGCATGAGTAATCAGGATCTACTGCCAGGCTTGTTTGTGAGTCTGCCTTCACTGTGCCCTTGCAGAGCTGTGTGTGCCCTGAGCACTGGCTGGCTGGAAGGGCCAGGCTCCCAGGGTGATTTCACATCCTGCCCTTTGGTTTGCACCATCACAGGAGGTGTGCACCTGGTGCTGGGGTTGGGAGCTGGAAAGTTGCACTTGTAATAAATACTGAAGGCTGCAGGGAGACCTGTTTGACAATAATCCTTTTATCTCTTATTTTCTGCAGTTGAAATTGATGCAGTCGGAGCTCAATGTTGAAGAAGTGGTAAACGACAGAAGCTGGAAGGTACTCAGTCATTTAATAGTGATGATGTTCTGTCCCAACAGACAGTCCTGCACTGGAGGTGTGGGACTGGTGCCTGGTGAAGCAGGTTAACTAGAAATAGATAAGGGCACTGCTGGGGGGAAGTGCTTCAAGTCAGTAATCTTCCCAGTGCTGGATGCAGAGATCAAAACTTTTCAGTTGCACTGCCAGGGGAAGAAAAACATCTGATTTAGCATGGAGGAAGGACTCTGGATTATTCCCTCTGTCTCTTTCTCCTCCTTGCCAGTGGCTGAGCACTTTGGTAGGCTTTTCTGTGGTCACTTCTGAAAAGCCTTTCAGGACCTCTAACAATGTCAGAGAGAAGGATCTTTCACATTTGCCTGTATCTGGTGCTGATCACAACTCTGAACAGAGCCCAGGGGAGGGTGAGGCTGTGGAAGTTGAACCTTCTCCTGATGGAGTTTCTTCAGGCCTGAACAGACACTCCCTGGTGCAAAGGGCAGCCTTGCCGTTGCTCTCCTGTGTCAGCAGAGGGTGCAGATCACCCTCTGGATTGATGGCCCCGAAGTCTAGCTGGTGATTTCAACACTGAGCTTAAATTCTGAGGTGGCTGTATTGTGTTACTGCAGCATTTCACATCTGGCATCCTTTTCTGGTTTCATGTAGCTTTTCAGAGCTTTCAATACTGCAGAGAACCTCTTTCCCTTTCTAAATGCAAAAAGGATTTTTGCAAATAGCCAGTACTAGCTGCACCTTCCTTTTTAATCCCTGCTTCATGATTTTAGTCCCTTAGATTGCACCAGTGTAAAACCAATACAGCTGTATGTGATGAACACACATCAGTAACCTCAGTGCAGGCTGACGAAATGAGCATTTACACAGTTCTCTGCATCAGTACACCTCTATACTGTCCCAGAAAAGCTAAGCATGCACTTCAGTTTAATTTTAAGCCCACTCAGATCTGACTAAGCAGTGCCACAACCTTTACAACAACATGATGCAGGTCACCAGGGGCAAATATTTTATGATGACTTTGCTATAGGGGAACAGCCCCCACCCTAATCTTCATTCTGAAGCTCCAAATTTAGTAATGATCCCAGAGGTTTCTTGTAGCTGCATTAAGCTTTTACTGGTGATAGAACTGTCTAATTTTTCCTGAAGATGGGGAGTTTATAAACAGTGAGGTATGTATGGTGCCAGGGGTACTTTAGCCTGCTGGTGTATTCCTCAGCCCATGTTCAGAGTGGGGCTTGAAGAGATAAATATTTCTGGGTTTTATCTCCAGTTCTGCTGTACTGTGCTCTGAATATACACATAAATGTCTCCTTTAGCTGCCTGTTAAAATGTCAATTAGAGCCAGTCATAGTTGCACACTGAATGCAATTTGTTACATGGAAGTGATTATTGGTGTGCAGGCTGGTGTTTTACTATTGTAGACTTCTGGTTGGGAAGTACACTTGTGTATTTCCATTAATCCTAAACAACTGAAAACTAATTGGAAAAAATCTGATTAGGAAACAGATTTTTAAACATTGTCTGACTGTAGCAATAGTGGCATACAGAAGGATGCTACTTTAGAGAAATGCATGTGGAATTTGGATGATACCAAACAAGGAATTGACTTTCAAACAAGACACTTGCATTAGTCTCTGTCCAGCACCTCCAGATTGGAGTTTATTGTTGGAATGGTTTATACAAATATGTAAAAGCCAGCAAAATCAAACTTTTGCCTAGTAACATGAATTTTAAGGTTTCTCAGCCATTGCTTTTCCTGAAAAATGTCTGAAAAAAATGAGAATAGCACTTCACAGGTAGACCAGTGGATTTAAGTGGCCTGAGTAATGCACTGAGATCTGTGAGCCAATGATCCTAAAAGGAGGAGGCAGTGTTAGTAAGACTGCAGCATTGATCTTCCTGCCACAGGTTGTGGAGTTACTGTTGAAGATATTTTGAAAGCATGATAGCAAGCAAGCTGTTGTTTGATGCTAGAGACCCTTGCAGTGCTTTAGAGAGTATTTCCAGCACCGTTTTAGACATATAGGCCATTAAAATGTCATTAACAGGCAATGGACGAAAAACTGTTCAATTTGTTTAGTAGTAAAATGTTTCTGAATTGGACTTGATGCTGTTGCTCTTAATTTCTACAGTTTCCTCCTATCACTGATCTCAAACCTTTACCTCATCTGAACTCTTCCAGAGGTGCCCATTCCATGTGGTAACATAATGGCTGCACATTTCTGTGTGTGAAAGAAACTATATCACAGCTTTTGTTTTCTGCAGTATGAAGCAGTTTGCAATACATGTCTACTTCTTTAAATAAATTAAATTTGAAAGGTAGTTGAGAATTGCTCCAAAATTGTTGAGAAGCAATGCTGTAATGAATGTGTGTTCCAGGCTTCACTTTTGCTGAAGTTGCCATAGGTTCTGAAGTGTGAATAAGATCTGCTGTAGAAGATTCTAGGAAGACACAGCTTGAAACTGTGTATTTATATAAAGTGTTGGATAACTTCCCCAAAATGACAAGATCACTCACTTTGCACATAAAGCCAATGGGAGAGGTCATGAAACTTCATATCCTGATGAACACAGGCACTTGGGTCTGCCAAACCCCTGGACAGCTTGGCAAAATATGGTCTTGTGGGAATGCTGGTGGGACAGCCAACGCCTGCCAGAGCCCAGCTTGGTGTCAGGTGGTGCTTGTGTCGCTTTCACGACTTGTGCTGGACAAGTTGGGATAAAAACTGATAAATAACTGAATGGCTTGTGAAGAGCACTTGCAGCCTCGGTGGGAGCCTGTGTGTTTTGCTTTGGATTCAGGCTGCCTGACTTTAAACAGTCACGTTTTTTGGCCCTCCTTAGGGCAGGCTGGCGGCAATTCAAGCTAAATATACACCATCCTCAGTATCCAGTTCTGGAGGCTAAATTTTACCCAGAGAAGGTGCCAGAGGTGAGTGATGCAGGAGTGCTGTGCCCTTTGCAGGGAGTGCTGGCAGCACTGGCACAGGCAGGCAGAGCACTGGAAGTGTGCACGTGGCTTTCAGGAGCCCTTGCCCCTCTTCTTGGCTGTCGTGCCAATGTAAAATGTGCCTGCTCAGGAAAGACAGGAATACAGCACCCAGATTTGAATGCCAGAGTGAACCTAACAGAGCACAACCATTCAGGAGCCTTCCCATGATTATTTCCCTCTCTTTTAAAAACAAAAAGGCATCAGCATTTTTGATGATAACAGCCTGCCAGGATTAAGAGTCTGCATTTTCTGAGGGAGAACACTTAGTGCTGTGCAGTTTCTCAACATCAGGCTGCATACTTTGGATTTACTAAAGCCAGGAGTGAAGGTGAATGGAGATGGATGTCTTGGTAAGTGTCATTTATTGATACCTCAGAGCTGGGCAGCTTGAGATGGGTGCCCAGGTAGTTGAGGTAGTTTCTGAACTGTTTGTAAAGTTCTGCTCATTTCCTGGATGGGGTTGATTCACTTTTGCTCTTCTGTTTTGGTGTCTCAGGTATTTAATGAGCGGTGCCGAATTCACTACAAGCCTCCGAAGAGTCAATGATGGTGTGGGATATTTTCCATCAAGGTGGTCCATAACTGTGAGAGCCAAACTGGAAAGAGACCGTGGGTGAGCTGAATTGGGACCCTCCAGAACCAGTAGAACCCAGTCTTGTTTTGTTTTGGACCTACTTAGCTGAATTCTCAAGCTTGAAATGATTCTCCTGTAATTAAGAGAAAACAACTCATCTTTTGTACAAAATATGTGAACAAATGAGTTTTATAGTATTAAAACAATTTTCAATTGGAATGCAAAACTGGCATCTTTCTTGAACTTCCACAGCTTCAGTGATCCCAGAGGGGAAGAAAGAGTAAAACCTATCCTGAACAGGGAGGAGAAGGCTCTCCCTGAGCTGCTGTCTGCTAAAATATCAGTGAACACAGTCTTTTTGTGGAAATAATCTGCTGAAGTCTGAAAGGAAATAAAAATTGCAGACTGATCAGCAAGTGTAGTGGGTCCAGCATCTCTGAAAGTAAGAAGTTACCAGCCTTGTTCTGAACATCTCAACACGAGCAGCAGTGGCTCAGAGCTGTGTGTGGGTACAGGTTTGTCATTGCTGCTGCAGTGCTGAGAGGCAGCATCTGTTGCTTACTGCCCTTTGGTCTGTGTTTCCATGTTCTGGAGTTTTCCTTTATATAGGGGATGTGCTGTTGATTAAAACCACTTTGTGTTGGAGGTGAAGGTGTGTCTCATTTGGGAATGAGACTGTCCAGGGACTCTTTTTTGTCCCTCCCTCTGAATATTTAAGAGTAGTTCTAAAGGTGAATTGTGTTTGAGCTGAGGAAACAGCTGTGCATACCTGATCCTGCTGAGCCTGGCCATGGTGTTGTGTTTACAAAGCTTGAATGCAGCACCCCTGCAGTAACACAGCATTTAAAGGCAGATGAGTAGGAGGAAAGCTGAGTTGCTTCAATTACACCTGTATATTTTACTTTTTATTTTGTATTTATCTCAGATAGGCTGACAGTCAAGTGACAAGGTCTATGTGGTTGCCAGCTGATATAATACTACTGAACTTAAACAGAGCCCTAAAAATACAGGCCCTGTCTTGCAAACACTTGGGAATTCAGCAATGAAATTACTGGATACACTCTCACATCCCTAAAACTTTGAATATATAGGGAGTGGGAAATGAAGGAATGTACCTGTGTTACTGAGAGCTGGCAAAGATCTGTGCAGCAGCATCTGTTTTATAGTTGTTTGGGCAGTAAAGACTCAAACTGCTTGGAGGCCTTTTCTTTTTAGGCACCAGGGTCATTTCATCTCACCTTTTTTGAGAATGAGGTAGAAATACATATTAAGTCTTTGAGGATATAAATCCTAATGTTCAAACTTCATTTTCCCCCTCTCTTTTTCTCAAGGTACTGCAACTGCTTTATGCAGAACTTTGAGTTGGAGCACTCATTCTTGAAGATTTCTCATTGTTTTTCTGCAACTCTGAAAGCAGAAAATGTGTTTGTTCTTCAGTTGTTAAATTCTTATAATTGTTTATCATCAAAGTGTAAATCAAATACTGCTCATCACTCTGGGCTGAATTGGCACTAATGAAATTTCAACAGGAGATGATGGTAAATTAATGAGATGTTGAGAACAGTAAGTTTTGGTTTCAAAGTTGGTACTTTATTATTGACCTCTAGTGTAGGTGTCTAAAATATTTATTCTCTCCTGGGCTTGGATCAACTGCAAGGACAAATTCTCCTTTTAAGTCAGTTGTACAAAGAAACTTCTGTAAGTGTGTTTAGACTTGGATCAATAGTCTTGAAATGTAATTTTTTATTTCTGCGTAAACTAGAGACTGTAATGAGAATTAATAATTGTCTTCCTTTATCTACCCAGATGTTTGCTCAGCTGTTGTGGAAAGCGTCTTCACTTAAGCAGATGCTGTGATAAGTGACCTGTGAAATGGATGTGATACACAGATTTATTTTTTTTTATTAGTTATGAGGAAACGATGTTAAAAAACCCCACAACTCCAAAAAATCAGCCCAACATAGAATTATTTTCAGTTTGGATATAAGGCCAAGCAAATAATCCTATACAAACCCAAGTATGAGAACCTGATCCCACGAGAAGACTCCTAAATCCCCAGCAGCCCTTCTTGGGGTGTTTGCATACAGAGGGTTGCAGTAAGACATTGAATTGCTTTATTTAGTTTGCTCTGAGCACAGAGGGTGTCTCTTACAGTAGTCCATGGCCAGTTCAGGTGGCTCAGTTGCTGTTGAACTCGATGGAACACGCGGTGAGTAAATGGAATTGCATGCCACGCTTCGGGCGCGGGGCAGGAGGACGCGGCTCTGCTGGCTCCTGAGAACCTCGGAGCTGCCTGGGGAGTGGGATGGTCTGGCATGTGTGCAAATGGCTTCAGTGTCAGCTGTGTGTCACACTGGACACAGGCAGGTAAATTCTGTGCCTAGGGGCCCCTGAGGGTTCCAGGATGGTGTTTAGTCAGGGATTGAACCTTGCTTCAAAGTTACTTCGAGGTAGTTACAAAATTACTGGGCTGTTTGCTGTCATATGGGGGTCAAACAGTGGACCCTACAAACAGCAGAATTCCATCCTTTCCCTGGTTTTAACTTCTATTTCTGCAAGTAATGGCATTTGAGCACAGTTGATGGCCATGTCCAGGGTCCTGTGGGTGCCTTACCTCCTCCACTGGGGCTTTCCCTTTGCTTGCAAGTGGTGAATACAGGTGGGCAGGTCCCATGTGCTTGGAAAGTCCTCTCAAGCTTGAGCATCTTTCCTTCTGTGAAATGGAAAGAGGTGTTGTTCTTTTTCTAGCATTCAGTGCTGTTGTCTTCTGCAGCCTGTAGGCATGAAAGACTGATGAAACAGGTAATTTCTTTATAGAATGTTTTTGACATTAGATTTCAGTTGTCTTGAAGCAGACTGAGAGGAAGAGGCTCAGCATAGGCTGGATTATGATAACTTTGTGCTGTTGAAGGTCAGGTTTCCGTTGATCCTTGTTCATGTACGATGTCAGAAATCTTTAAAAATCAGGAGGGTTGGCAGGAAGGGAAACCTTTTTTGCAGACCAGCATGTTGAAATTCAAGGCGGCTGTTCCTGTGATGATGAGAACAGATCTTCAGGTGGTACATGGAGGGCTGCTTTCCTCTATAAGCTCTTAAAGACATTCAGACCATGTGTCATGTCCAGCCACAATTACATGTCACTGTGAGACCAGAAGACTGACCTTACTGGCTTGGCTTTCACAATCATTTCTACAGAGCTGACTTAATTCATGGTTTAAAAATTACTTGTAAATACATAACCCTGGGGTTTGGATTTTGGTGGAGGTTATTTTGTTTGCTTTGTTTTGTACTGACGTTTTTATCAACAATAGCTTGGCACTCTTAAAATTGCTTAAACAGGACCAGGGAGTAGTGGCCTGCAAGTACTAAAGATCTGTTTCTTCTGTGTTGGAATAGTACGTGGTGCATGATGTTACTCAGCTTCAAAGCTGTACAGAATGCCAGTGGTGGTGTGCCAGCAGATAGTCTCCAAGATAACAGCAGCACAGTGATGTGAGGGGAAGCTGCAAGTTGTGCTGATGGGAGAGTGTACACTGGCCTGGTACGTGATACCAGCCACGTCTCAAACACTACAGGGGGCACACTCACCTTCTTGTGCAAGAGATGGCGTGGGGGTGGCTGTTCTTTTCAAGGCAGTGTTCCAAATCCTGCTTCATTACATCCAAAACTTAGTGTAGAGAGGAGTGGGTGGAGGTGGGAGTTACCCCAGAGAAGGTTGATCAATTGCATCTGGTCGTCTTTGATCACAGGTCTGTGAAATGTCTGCACTTAAAAGTGGTTTCACAGAATACTTGTGCAGGATGAGTACTGCATCCCAGTCTTAGAAATCTCATGGGATTTTGGGACAGCCATTAGCACTGCCGTGGAAAGGAAACAGTCTGATTTGCCTCTGTAAACTTCCGCATCAACTTTTGACAATTAGTCTTCATTTTTTTTTTCCCTTCTGCACAACTGTGCATTCTGGGGGAAAAAAGTTGTTATGCTTTAAAGTAAAAAACCAGCAAACCCAGAAATAGGGAGTCCGGTGGATGACTCCCACGCAACATTAATATCTTTAGTTTCACACCTAGAGTCTTTCCAAGATTATAAATGATCCCTCCTAGATTTTGTGTTCAGTGTATTTGTTGCTAGACAGAATTTTAGCTAGACAGCGTGCTCCAGGAATGTACTGCTGCCCTGGGGAATCTTAACATCCCTTCCCAAGGAAGTTAGCAGGATCTGTATCCTGGTGAGTGGAGAGGTTTATAAAATACCCTGTTGTAGCACTGGTGTCCTGCAGTTGTTGGACACATTCTCTGATTTCTGGCTTCAGTAAGATGAACTGGCTCTTCCAGTTCCTTAACTTATCTGTCCTGCTGTATGAATAAGGCACGGGTGGTGGAACATGATCAGCATTTGAGTGAATCAGCAGGTTTTTATGCAAAAGAAGGTTTGAGTTGTCATCAGCTCCATGAATAGGACGCTGAGGAACTCCTCATCTGGAGAGAATTGGTGAAAGTGGCAGAATTCCAGTTTTTACAGCTGTCACTCCCTTTATTCCTGAGAACTAGAAGGATTTTTCTCTCTGTTCACAAAAATATTGTCTCAGGACAATTGATTTTTCCTCAAATGCTTTTTGTCCACTTCCATAACACAGCTGCTCAAATCTGGAAAATTCTGCTGTATCTTTTTCAGTAACATGCTGTAATACTCATCAGTACTGTTGAGTGTAGAGCCCCTACAGCCCCAGTTTCTCAATCTCAGGGGCTTTGTACCAAAACCAGGCCTTGAAGTCAGATCTGAAGTACTTTATACAGTGTCTTGCATCATTTGTTATCTGTGAGGAGGAGGTTCAGTGGTATGGGTAGGACATGGATAAGTTTGTTGCTATGGCCATAAACCCACCTCTTCCTAGCAAATTCCTTAATGCTGACCCCAGCAGAAATGCCCATTGCCTGTGTGCAGTACATATTCTCATTTCACCTGCTCCCATGTACCTGCCCCTACAGACTAAAAAGTGTCTGGTCTGTTTCTGCTTCTCTGGTCCTTGCTGTGGAACAACATTCCTCATATTTGCTGGAGAGGGAGATGGCAGAAATATCAACAGGGACTAATTTTTTTCTGTGGTCTTGAAGTGTTAGTTCTCCCTTACCAGAGAGGGCTGCTAGCAGTTATTAGCCTTCCCCCAGCAGGATTTGAGCTTTGTACATTGACATTCATGAATGTGACTGTGCCATGTGACTGTAACTGCAGAATGAATACTTCTGACTATACGTTCTCATGTGATCTGCTTCAGCAGCGTACATTGAAAATGGGACAGCTTTTGTGTTTTTTGATTGTACTTTGTCTTCCAGGAAATTGGCACTGGAGTTAAAAAGTAGATTTTATTGCACATTCAGTTGCTATTATGATTGCCTGAATGCAGCTTTTGGT